GTTGTGTAGCCGCTGTCGTGGTGGTCGCTACCGTTGTCGTGGCCTGCTTGTACAGCGCTTCGTTCCTATTGAAACAGAAACCACGAGAGGCGTGTCACAGACTAGTCACTATGCCTATGCCTGCCCTTCACTGATATTACGAAGAGCATAATATTGTAATTCTAATATTCTGGCTTACTGGCCCTTAGGCAGGAAATTTAGTTGCACTCTTTTCTGCAGACTTCTTACTCTAGTCAGACATTTTCTGCAAAAACTTGACTCTAATACGTTTTGAACAGAGAACCTCATTTTTAGAAAGCTCGCAGATGGGATTGAACCATAGAAAGTACTTTATACGACATTAAACCCTTTAAAACCCAGTGATAATTACATGTAACACATACTTTAAGATTCAGTAACTCTGAATTTTTCTCTGAGTGCATTTAATGGGTTTCGCGTGCTTATCAGAATGAGCAGAGAATCTTTATCAGAAGAACATTAGCTACTTGATCTTGGTAGTGGAAACTCGAGATGGTTTTTTTAGGCAAGAACTTAATTTCTAAATATTGTTTAGATGATCTTCGGTTCCAAAGAGATAATTTAATAGCGTTGTGACTATACGTACAGCAATTATAATTGCCATGGTGGATAACCCAGAGACATCCTTACAGTGATGGTTATTCTCTGGGCCTTCCAGGAATCGAACCCATTTGCCATTCCCATAGGCAGTCACTTTACTGACAGCTATCCAGACCATCCAAAGCAAGAATCAAACCCCGATTTTCCATGTCATACCTGCCACTATACTTATCAGCTGTCCAGAGCAACTAGGTGAAATAATTTTTATTATTAATACATCGCTGCCTTACCGCTTGAAGTACTTGGCCGAGTTGACGCAGTCGACTTCAGATACGAAGTGGCAAATGAACGTTTTCTGATCGAACGCTGTGTAGTTGGCACACAAAAAGTCGTACCTGGTTCCAAACAGACAGTGGTGGTAAACCTGTCAAACATAAAGCGTTCTGGGATTTGTAGTTCTCATGGGGGTGAAGATGTCGATGTTGGTATTCTGGGTATGACGGTATGTGGACTTATAGGTAGATACCGACATTATGGAGGAGCATACTAACATACTGTATCTAACTTTAAGGTATCAGGGCCAAGCTAACCTAACCTTACATAGCCGAACATAACCCAAACTGAAGACGGCTGCCGTCTGGGTTGTTTCCCCGTGTACTCTGGTAGAAATTTACCGACGTGTCATCGGTATTGTTGCCGCCATTTTCTGAGCGTACAGCACAGTGAGTGAGTTAAGTCAGCCACTTTTTCCTTTCTTTGTTTTTGTCACACGTGGGTGTAGCTCGTCAAATGTGGTTACGATTCTGAGCCTGGATGCGTGAGTGACAAAGAGTTCCTGGCTCTCGGTGCGCCTATTCCAGTTCTACCTACAACGGGAAGCTATAAATTATAGCATCCCTCGTATCTTGCTTGGGCCGTTTCGCTAGTTCGTTCTTTCGTACGGTTAGACGTTTCCCGACATTTTCTTTTTCTCCTTGGCAGTACTAGGGGTAGAGTATAACTCCTTACGTGAGTTTCCCCAGTCCTCGACTATACAAATTACCTTAGTCAAAAGTTCTTCACGATTTGTTACTAAAATTTATTCGTGAAGCACTTTAAAACAACTGAAGATTTAATTTAATAGAACTAATTTTCCAGGAAACCATGTAAGTAGGCCTACAATTATAATTTTGTGTGTTATAATATTCAGATTTCAGAGAACACAGTGAGGTAAAATATTCTTCGCTGAATGCTAGCCGAATTTAATTCGATCATTGTTATTTATTTTTTGGTTGGCTTACGGTTTTCCAGACAACGACGTGTGGAATACTGTCTGCCCAATAGTATTTGCGCTCTGTTTCTCTTAACAATGGTTTCTGTTCTGTTGCCAAGTTTCTGCCGCTTTCTAGCCCAACTCAAAGACTCGCCTGGTCGATAGAATGTAGTATGGTAGAGTGACACTCAACTTCAGAGAGCAGGTTCTCGAGAAATGACTCTAAACCACACCCTTTAACTCTGTTTCCCTAACATCCGTTTTGATATTATCTTTGCATCTACGCCTGGGTCTGCCGAAGAACTCTTACCTTCAGGCCTTCCAACCAAAACCTTTTACGGATTTTGTATATTCTCTATGCTATCTGTTCCACCCATCTCATATTCCTTGATTTGATCATCCTAATATTTGGTTTAGCTGTGGAAAGAAGCGACCTATGAATGTCTTACGGCACAACCGAAATCTTTTTATGATGATGGAAAAGGGAAATTTCTGGTCTCTTCGTTAAAATGCATTGAGAAGCAGGACGACTACGTAAGAAAATATGGTAGCTGTCAGCTATTATTTTCACATCGACAGAATTGCCTTTAATATTTTTCTTACCTTCGTTTTTAAGTTATATCTACAATCGAATTTAATTTTTGCTTAAAGATAAGTCCAGCTTGGTTAATAATTTCAAATTACCCAGAAAGCAAAAAGAAATGTCACCCTAAAATACCTTTTACTGAATGCCGGACAATATGAAGATCTGTACCTGAATAGGTTTTCGGCAGACTTATCGTGGTTTTCTTAGTCAATTTGGGAATCATGCTCAGCATGGACGGCACTGAAGTTGAGTGATACGGGATCATCAGAGCACACTGACGCGTGCTGTAAACCTGCTCCAAATAAGATCGCGACAAATCTTGACTTCATCTTAACGCCATTCACTTTCAGGTTCGGGGTCTCAGCAAGAAGTTATGTTAGAAAGGCAAGCAGTTCCTTTCATCCCGGCGAGAGCCGTAGTCACACCGGCGAAGGAAAAGAAAATTGACACCCACTCTACACAGGGTCTTTTTCATTAAAAGTACTCGTATCTAGAGCCGGAGTAGCTCAGTCAGTTTAGTGAGTGACTGGCTACGGACTGGACGACCGGGGTTCGATCCCCGACGGGGGCAGAGGATTTTTTCTCTAGCCTCTGCGTCCAGACCAGTTCTGGGGTCTCCCCAGCCTCTGTTCAATGGGAACCGGGGTCTTTTTCTGGGGCTAAAGAGCGACCTGGGTGTGATGCTGACCACTCACCCCCATCTAGTGCCGAGCTTAAGAATGAGTAGCAGCTGTATGACCTCTCCCCCCAAGCACCTACATGGTGTGTAGTGAGAAAGCTTATTTTTTTTGTACACATGGGACGCAGCAAATCAAATGTTTTCGTATTAACGCTTTACATCCTTCGTAATTAACCAAGATAAGTAATGATTTTAATATGCGTGTGTTGTTCTGTTACACTTGTGAAGAAAAATGCGCTTTCTCAAATATTACGTTAGGATTTCCCGTTATTTTTGACGGGAAAATTTCTAGTGAACACATGCTTCCTTTCATCTACGTTTGTTTCTAGACTGTTTTTCGGTATTGTTTCGGTGTTATTTGTATCATTAACGTTTTTGCTTGAAAGAAAGAGAATGAAGTTTCGCAACTGAAAAAGAGGATAAAAATACAAGGTTGAACAGTACGAAAACAAAAGGACGGGACTGGAGGAAATATGAAACGATAAAGGAGGAAGTAAAACGAAAGCCACACAAATAAGAAAGAAAGTAGTGAAGGGAATCACGAACGAGAGAGAGGATCTGTTCTTCAGTTCATTCTGCGTGACATGGGTACGACGGAGAAATGAAGTTCATTGCCAGAAGAATAAGAGCAGCGAGATACATCATTTTACTCTAGGTAAAGAGGTTCCTTGCAACAAAACCAATTTTAGAGGAAACATGAATCCTGCTGGTCACCGTCACCACACCACATCACCACTGAAAGTGAAGCTCATGCTTCTCTTCATAATTCATGAACTCAAATGGGATTTGGTTATGCACACAATTTATAGTTTCGTAATCAAATACTTTCTTTAATGGGATTTCATGGGCTTTTAAACACGTTCTTGTAGGCCTAGTAGGTTTTTGTGTTTCTCTTTAAGATAAGAACGGGATTGAGTGTTTTATGAAGTCCTGAATAGTATGTACGGATCAAAGAAGAGGCGTTTTAGTAAAATGGTGACTATTACATGCCGAGGTAGTTCACCTAGCAGGAGGAACTGCTAGCTTCAGTGCTAGATATATAGAGGATGTAAAACAAATTCAATAAGTAAACTGAACTTTAAGCAATGGCGCTACCTTGGCACGACCTTGGGATAACAGCGTGACACAACCTACCCTCACCCAACATCACGCAACATAAATTTATCGAACGTTACCGAACCAAACCCAATCTAACCTAACCTAACCAACCTTAAAGCAAATTAATCTAACGTAACGTACCCTAACTTAACCTCTCCTAACCCAACCTAACCTAACACAGCCAAACGTAACCTAATGTAAACCAACCTAACCTAACCCAACCCAACCTAACACAACCAAACCTAACCCAATCAAACGTAACTTAACTTAACCTAACCCAGCCTGACACAACTTAACGTAACGTAACACAACCTAATTTAATCTAACCCAGCTTGTGAAATCGCATGTCCTGAAATAGATGTGATCTTGGCATGACTTTGACCTTACAATGGCCTGACATTGACATGACACTCGCCACTCCCAGACCTAAGGTTCCGAAGAAATTGCATGTCATTTTTATGACCTTGACTTTTTAAATGCCTCTAATAGGAATAAGATTGGCCTGACATGGCTGTGACCATGGCATGAACTTGGCATACGTATGACCGACCATTGAAATGACAGTCGCCGCTCCCAGGCCTACATTTTAGAGCCGGTAAGGAATATCCATTAGTTTGTTTCCTGTGCTTTGTAGAAAGGTGGTGTGGTTCGTTTCCCTACCTGACATTTATGTAGTATACTGGCGTAGAAGCCGTCGTGGAGCCCATCACACTTGAAATCAATCTCCTCAGGTACCCGATCGTAGAACGGATACTCGGTGAGGTTATAGCCGTTCAGTTCTCTCGGCAGATTCGGATCGTGAATGTAGTCTTTCTGGGGTATCCCCGTGAGCGGGGACTTGGTGGTCGCGTTGACTTCTACCCCTGCTGCTGGTGCAGAAGGTGGCTGAGTGTCGCTTGAGCTGCCCGTGCTGGAGCCAGCAGCCTGCAGCAGATCGATTTATGAACGGTGGCGGAAGGAGTTTAGACATACGAAACGGTGTAAAAACTATGTAGAATGGATCTTTGCTATTTTGTTTCCAGAGGAACGGCAAGCAGCCTTTTGTAGATAGGGCGTTGCGTGATAGTAACTGGTTAATGTCATTACCTCTTCGTCCGCACTCCTGTTGTCAGCTTCTAAAGGCTTCTGCTTCAGCTTGCTGATCACCAGTGCAGTCCCTTTGAGACACTCCCCAAACGTCGCTAGAAGCAGCAAACCTGATAAAAAGAATTCAGAACATTAGAGATACTAAGTGAAATTTCAGACTCACGAGGCGAGTGTGTCGATGACAGTCTTATGGGGCGTTGCGCCCTGTAGTCTCGTAGAAATTGACCGGCATTTCAGAGGTGTTTACTGTCTCCATCAACAGGGCGATGGTGGATTCTGAGACGTCTGTCTGCTTCTACGAGACGACACGAGGCATCGTCCCAGAAAACAGTCATCTTTATTAAACGTATTGTCTCTGATTCTCTACAAAATTGAGCTGGCTCTTCGTGTAACAACACTACAACTTTTGATAACACTAAATGGACTATGTTACGTTGCTTGTTCCGCGTTGTAGTTAATTATGTTATGAAGAATCTTTAGGTATTCCGCCATCTTCAAACTAACCGCCGTGGAAACCTCAAATTCTACTAAGTGTATTAGCCTTTGAACGTGCACACACGTTTACAAATTTTGAGTGTAGTTGTTTATAATTATAACTGTACTTGTAAAAAAATATATAGCTCACGGGATTTTAAATAGCACAGTATAAATTGTTACCTTGAGAAACGCTGAGCACAATGAAAGTGAATGTTTGGCCCAGTGGTCACAATTAGGACAGGCTGCCTGCAAGTAGGCCACCCGTGAGGTATACGTATTATAATAAACTGAAGAGATTAAAATTCACTGCCACATCTAAGCAATTATGAATTCTGCTACGATCATCATAAACGTGGAATACTGCCTTGGCCTAAACGCAAGAAGCAAGTAATGAGGAGGGAAAGACGAAACAGAAGGATGTAGATGTTTGTATAAATTAGCATTTCACCAGAATGTCTTGCACTCAAGGACAAAGCTACCTGCCTGTGTCTATCGTATTCCGTTGCGTGTACCCTTGTACGTACACGGAAACACGGAAAACGTCACTAAAGCAAAAGGAGACGTTGAAGTTTGCATATAGTTTGTAGATGTAATTAATTCCAAGAATTTTAAATGTGCTTTCGAATGAAAAGAAATGAAAGTAACAATAAAAAACTAAAGTGTATTCTGTAAATAAAATTGACTTTGTTGCCTGAAGGTCTTCCACTAAAATTATAATATTAAAATATAGGCCTATATTCTCCAAGGTTTAAAACTCGTGTTGGCTGGGTGAAAGGTGTAAATAATTAAACCGCCTTTCTTTTGTTAATGGTAACGCCAATTACTTTATCGCAAACGAATTATTCAGTTAGTTTAAGTAACAACATGAAGAAGAGTGAAAGGACATAGCCTAAACCAGGTACTCATTGGAGAAGAGGCTAGATGGACTCCAGGGACGGTTTGGACTTCGTGGCTGCATGTGGAATTGAATCCCGGTCATTCAGCCCGTAGCGTAGTCGATGTTTCGGAATCAGCTCGGCGTCCTCGGCCCTGTCACGTCAGTGTGAAAGGCGAGCGTGTCAAACTGCCGGGCAACAGGACTCGCGAGCTTCGACGTAATGCGTCGTATATCAAAGTAAAGGCATCGTAGCCGTCGACGTTTAATGTATAAAGGGTTAAAACTGATATGTTGAATCTTTAGCCAATTTTTAACGCGCCCCTTTCTCCACTGTACCACGATAACGTAGATATTCGACAAAAGTAGGACAACCAGACTGGAACTGAATTATCGTTGTTATTATTGTCCTTATAATCATAAGTCGTCATTATTAATTACTGAATCTCGGTCACAATATAAGTTGAATATATCTTATGGTGTCGAAAAAACAGTTTACAAGAAACATTTCCTACGCATTCTGCCGATAAGTGTCAATTAAGACTCATGGCATATGACGAACTGGAAAATTGATACAGATACCAACTCCTGCTTTCTAGGTTAAAATTAGAGTTCTGTGTAATGTTATTCGCCTTATCGTATGATTGCTTTCTCTTTGTTCTGTAATTGTGTACCAGCCTGATTAGCCCACAGACATGACAAGGACAACATGGTATCCAGTAGATTTAGAAATTTCCGTAAAGCATATTGTCTCATTTTCCTTTCTCTTAATTTTTCCTTTTAATTAACTTTAGAACCATTCCCAGGCACATAGATTTTGTGCAAGCTTCACCATTACTACTGCAAATTCGAGAAGCCATTTCCACTGCAGATGTTAGTTTTCGTGATCGAGGACTGTTGTTCTTTGTTCCTCCATGTCAATGCTGACCTTTTACCAATCAGTGTCCTTTCATACCGTTTAACGAGTATGTGAAATGTCAGATGTCAGTGACATGTTACTAGCATTTTACAGAACATGTAACAGTTAACCAACCCACTCTAGAATTATAATCGGAAAATAATAAATTATTCAGTCTGAATTTCTATCCAGTTGCCTGCTATACTGAATAATGTTTTATTATCAGAAAATATTTGTATCTTCTTTGCACAAAATAAAAAACAACTTGTAATAATATAGGTTGTGACCTTGGCCTGTCCTTACCGAAACCACAAAACATATAGTTATCATTTGTGATTAAGAGAGTCTGCATTAGAATTTTCGTTCGATCAGATCATATGGGTTCAGTGTATTCTAAACTCTAAATGGAACACAGATATGGGCATTAAAAGAGGCTCCTTGCACATGAAGTGGTACGTGACGTCACAACCCAGAACAACATCGTTACGTCACACTTCTCCACGTGTGTTAAGTGAAGAAGTACAGCTGTTATTATAATTGGCTGCCAATAGAAGCATTCGATAGTTATTCTGATTCTATTATAGACTGAGAGACACGTAGGGTGTGGTAGCATTGCGTCCACTTTCCGTTAGATCATACTTTATAGTTTAGATACAGATGTCACAATTGAAACCCCAGTTAGAACACGTCATCTAATTATGTAATATATCTTGAAGTGTCTGCTATACGGCATGGAAGGTGAGCTCACATATCAGGTCGGTCTTTGGATCTTGGCATCTGATATGACAACTTAAAAACCTGTCGGCAGAATCTAATTACAAAGCAGTTTTACCTAAAAATGTCAATCTTATAATAGTAAGAACCTCTTTAATAAAGAATGTATAAACTTAATCTTTATATTTTTTTTATTTGTGATTTATTTAACGACACTTCCAGTAGCTTAAACTAGTATACTATAGTGTCGAGTGATAAGATGATTAATGAGCTGAAAAGTAGTCGTGGCCTAATTTAAGGCACTATGTCAGCATTTCGTGTGTTTTTTGTGTGTCGAAGAAGTTTCTGTCCCAACTGATTTTCTTTGGATCGAACGTTCGGATTTCATAGAAACCCGGAAATTCCTTGTCCAACTTAGTGACTCCCAGTTCCTGAAAACGGAATTTGTTCCATGGAGTTAGAATTTTTGTGAAATTATTGTAATGGTTACGACTATTAGAATAATTAAAATAACATACATTCTGTCTCCCACTCGGAAACGGTTATAATACAGGCATGCCGCGGTATACGAGTCAAAGGACGCGTAACGCGAGTTCTTGACCTTCCTGTAACAAACTCCCTAAACACCTGAGCCTTTTTCGCGAAAAATACAATAAACGTTAATTTGATTACGTACATTTTCCTTGGAATTGTTTTCAAATACGAGAGTAGGCCTACACGATTTTATCCGATGATTTTCCCTAGAATACTTATATATTAAAATGGGGACTGCGTTCCTGAGCGCTTATTTTTCGGTTGAATGTCATGATTTTCATTTGTCTGAAAGTGAATGTTGAGGCTCTGGGGTTTCTAAATATCAGATAATACACTTGACAAATATCAGTAGTCTACTTCAAATTAGATTGTTCATTTTATCGGCGAGAACGGTCAAAAGAGGAATAACATTTGGCACTGCTCTTTCACCACAAATTTCTCAATGTCTAGGCGTTTATAAATAGAAATGTATATTTACTTTCGTCCTTAAAGTTAACTTATGACGAAACTTGCGGCATTCGGAAAGGTCGTGTTTTAGCGGAACAAACTACCTCCTGTAAGTACTTACAGGAGGTAGTTTGTACAAACGTTACGTGTCAGAGACACTGACGTAACGAACGCTCCAGAACTGTTACGCTATGTACTATACGTTTCTTAACGTATTAATCTGAAAGATACGGTTAAGATGAATCCATACGAGGAAACGTTCATACTTTAATCTCGTATTTATTTCTGATCGCCGAAGAAACAAAATATTCTGTACTAAAGTGGAGAAATTATAACAATAACTAGTGTGTGATGTTTGGACTCTTATGTTCAGTATCATATTCCTCTTTGGGTTTCAGGCTCAATGTTTTTTTTAATGATGACAGACAGTCCTTGAGGAATGCAATTAACTGATTGGCAAATGGTCGGACTGTAGGGTCGCCGTCCTATGTAACTGAAATCGTCACGACGCACGGACATTGTACCACACCCAGGTTTCTTACATTCTTGGCTTCTATAACAGCAACGTACCTGCGGAGTAATTCTCATTAAGACATTCCAACAAGCACCAACCACTTGGACTTCAAAATAAACCAAATATTAATGGGGCAGGAAAAATAACGATTTGCTACTACCAGTACAGAGATTTCAATTCACGTGTAAGTAGGAGCTTCTTTAAGAGGTGTAATGCTTGCGGGCATCCAATCCTTTTTAGATTCAAGAAAACTAATGCTCCAAATGGGCAAAAAGAAGTATTCAGGGAAAAGCGTAGAGGAAAATTACAATGCCCAGTGAAAGTAATCTGTATTATATAAAAGCCAGTTTGTTGCTTGTTTGGTTTAATAGTTATAATATTTGTTGCTGTCACATACGAACTGAGCGCGGACCTCGAAGAAAACATTCCAGATAAAAACGTAATACATACCGAAAACGTAAAGCGGCTGGCAAAAGGTTCACAATAATGACGCCAGATGGTAAAACGTTATACAAGAGGCTAAAGAGGAATTTGGAGTGAATTAGTTTGGTTTTAGGAGACTGCGGTTTCAATGAGCGATTGTCGTGATAGAAGAAGTAAGCACCTCTGAGACGTCCGTCAGTTTCCACGAGATGGCGCTAACAGAAACTGG